CAGACCAAAGTGTAATCCTTCTGAACAAACTGAGATCATTCCATTGACTCTCAGGTTTTGTCCTTTAGACCCAGATTCCACAGACACTTGTATCTATACCTCAAATTTGCTGTTGTGTATAAGCCTTTGTACAATTGTGATTTTAGTATTTTTCTATGTGCTTTTTATTTTAAAAATTATTTTAATTAGGAAAAACGTTAAATGCTTTCTCAGACCCTTAATCAAAGTGGTTTTGACTTCTTGGCCAAACGGGCCGTAAGTGGACTCTTAACGCTTCCTTGCATCTGTGCTAAACTGCAGAAGTCGGGAGTGGTAAATGCATTTCCCCTGAGCTGTTTTCCTTCTTTTTTGTCCTAGACCCTAAAAGCAGAATGAGCAACGTTGCATTTTTATAACATTGCATTTGTATACCCTCTTCTGTCAGAAGAATCACCTTGTGAGAGCAGTCATGTTTGTGACAAGCTGAACTGGCAGGGACCTTTCCTGTCTGCCCTCCCTGTAACCCCTCCGTTTCACAGCCAGCGTTCTGTTGTTCTAGCCAGCTGCCGTATATTTTCCTCTGGGAATAATGATGTAGTATGAACAAAACCATCATTTGGTCAGGAATGTTTAGGATAGATTACAAAACCAGCATAATTTACATTAAGGAATAAAAATCCATTAAAATACGTGAAAAAGGAGAAGAGGATAAATGTTATTTATGGAGAGATTTATGAAAAATTGGAAATGACAGACATTTTACTTTAGAAATTACTTTTCCTTTGTGATGGATCACACTTGACAAAGTTATCGTCACCATATTTCTCCCCCACGAGAGCTGCCCTGGCTGCATAATTTCACTTCCTGCGTAGAGGGCAACAACTTGTCCTTTTCCCTCGTTTATAGTAACTTTTTTCAATATCCCTGTCTAATGCCAGAAAGGGACAGATCTTTACGTAACGTGGCAGCCATGTTTGTGCTTTTAACGTAAAACAAACCTGATGTTTGTTGATATCAATGGAAAGATTCATTTTCATCTCAGTGGCTCTTATTGCCCGCAATCTGTAGCATCTCTTTTGTAATGCTGGCTCCGAGTTAATACTTAAATCTGATTTTGGCTAGCTCTACAGAGAATTTCTTTTATAACGTATTGGTTTGCTTTGTTGTTTTAATGATCCTTTTTTTTCTTAATTATGCACTTCAGAAAATAAACATTTTAAAGCTTACTGGCTTTTCTTTTCCTGCCCTTTCTCCCTACGTTTTTTCCGCCTCCTTTCTTTTTCATTTTTCCTTTATTTAGGCAATTTACTACGTGCCTTATTTGCAAAATCATAGTTTGCAGTAAACGTATCAGAGATGCTTGGCTTCCTCTACTCTTTGAATACAGACATAAAGTTTTCCTAGTCCATCTGGATGGAATAAGGTTTCTTTTACTAAAAAAGGAAGGAGACGATATAGCAGACTTCTAACCATGGATGTTCAGTCTCAGCTTTAAAATAAAGCATATGTGGTTAAACCCTTTTCCTTGCATTAATTTATTGCACTATGAAGGATATATCGGTTAGTTACAAACCGTACCCCAAAAAAGTAAGAATGTGAAGAAACAGAACTGCAAGCCTCTCCGTTTCTTGCCTAACTCTGACACTAACACTGTGTAACTTGGGAATAGTGGTTTAATTTTATTTACTTACATTTAAAACAGAGTTAATGCCCCTTACTTCTTTGTAGTTATGAATCTTAACTAAGTTAAGTCTTATCTGTAAACAGAAATTATAGCAAGAAAATTGCATAAAGAGCACTAATGAGGGCTAAGTGGCTTGAGGAAATAAATATTCCATTTGGCTTTGGTGAGTCAAAATGATCTCATTCTGTACTCTTTCTAATTGCATCTTTGATATTTTCATGCTAAAAACAATTAAAGCCATGATAATGAAGAATGAAACTACTGATAGCTAAATTCTTGCTTTGTAACACCTCACGCTTATCAAACACAAAATTTTACATCGCAAGAAAAGGAACAATGGAATACAATACCTAGCTCCTAGATAGACAGAAAAGCAGAGAGCAATGGACAAATATTTCTTTTTTGGTGTGTATTTATTAGATGCTGTCATGCTATGAGACAGCCTGGTCCTTTAATGATGTATTTCTGTATTTTGTTGTCAACTGCCATACCGTTTGCACCATTAAGTAAATGCCTTCTAAAGATGCCCTGGGGAGCTATTACAGAGCAGTATGAATAATACAAATTTCATATTTTGCTCTTCTGTCATATATTCTCTCTGGTGGAAAGGCACATTTAATACATCTGGCTACACAGTTTTCATAGGATGTCACGTTCATTTGGTATTTTCTAAATCTTTCTGAATATCACAAATGCTTATTTGTGACCACTGATACTAAATGTTTAAATTAATTTGCTTCGCTTATGTTCAAAATCATTTAATTTCTGGTATCAATTTCAGTGACTTTTTCTGATGCGTTTTGGGCAAGTACTCACTAAGAAAATCTGGAACGCGCGGGTTTTGGAGTTTGGTCTGAAAGTGTTTCTAAGAATTGTTCTTGAGCAAGCAGGGAACAGAAATGTGTAACAGCTCTGAATTTCAAATATTAAATAATAAATGCAGAACTTGCAATGACCAGTTTTCAACCAACCCAAACTGAAATATACTTACATAAAATCATTCTTTTAAATCATTTAAAACCATGAACAGATGCAGAGGAATAGTCTCCTGTTTGCAGATCATTCCAGAACGGAGAAAAGCCTTAGGTATTAGTTACAAACAGACTGCTGATCTGAGTTAAAAAACCAACAACAACAAAAACCCCCCAGACCCAAACTACCTCAAACTTATGAATAACAACATAAAATATGACATTTTATATCACTAATCTAGCTTTGTATGGGTTATATGCATAAGTGACTATAAAGGTGTTCACGTTACTTGATAAATAAGGAATATAACATAACTTAGGACGATCAGTTTACAGAGTAAATAATTGAATAAATTTGAAAGATAAGTTAATTTGAAGAAACTGCAATATATTCCCTTGTATTTATGGAACAGAAGACAAATACATTGTTTTGTTTTATTCAGTTCTTGCGTCGTCACAGTCCTTGTGTCTCAACTGAATTATGTTGGCTTAATTGAGACTTAATGTGGTAATATTCAGCATGCCAAATATAAGGTGTCAGATCTCTCTTTCTCAGGTGCTCTGTCTAAAACCCTGAGAATAGGAAAACATGGACAATATCAACTATTTCTGTCTACAAGATAGTTTTAAATTTCACATTTTCTGGCTTCAGTTTCCACAAGCTTTCACTTCCCCAGCAGGTAGTTTGGTTATTCTGACCGACTCCTCCTATAACGTTTAGAAATTCATCTCCGGACACTAATTAATCCCAGCATTCAGTCAGGCTAGGGTATTGCCTGTTAGTTGCGTGTTTAGCTTATGTTTTCTATTATGATGAAATAGACCAATTTTACTAGATCTAATTAAATCACTTAATATTATCTAAGAAGATATGCTTATAAATGGAGTAATAGATAGGAATGTAGTTTTCTAATATGTTCTCGGTGAACTTCCTTCATCCTCTTGTTTAACTCATTTAGCATTCTTGTACTAATTTAGAGGAATATATTTCTGTTTATCATTGCCAAACTGTATCACCTGGTTACTTAAAGGACCTTTGTGGTTGAAAAAATGTTAAAATAACTACAAATTTCTCTTTTAAAAGATACTAAGGTACATGATAGAATTATCTGTTTCTTTACATTAATAATCCAGGAAACATTAACTTTTGCTTTATTTGTTTATATCGCGTATGTGAGAACTTTTAAACAGACGAATAAGAACAATATTGTTCATATGCCTATTGCTTTACTTTTCTTTATATACGTTGTGTTTTCTTAGTGCTTGCATACACATTTTCTCCTTAATTTAACCATACTGGTAAATTCATGTGTGTTTAACAGAAGGCTGCGTGCAGAAATTATGATATTTCAAAGCTCTATCTTCCTTAAATGCCCAAGTTGGTTATTTCTGTGATTTCTGGATATCTGTACTTTTTATGGATCTTGAGTTTACTTGCTTCACTGTAGGACAAAAGTTGAGAATCAGTGTTCTACTTACTCCACGTAGTAGATGAAATTCTGGAAGCTGAATTTTTGTCGGTCTCCAGAAAATCATATGCATATCAGGTTTTCATTGAATCTAGTACAATTCTAGGCAGAGCCCTTGAGGGAGCTCTGCGTAAGCTCACGTGGCTTTCAATAGTAGAGAGCCTTGTGTTCAACTAATTGTTCTAGCTGGAAACCTAAAGCATGTGTGGTTCTGAAACAGATTTGGAGGAATCTACCAAGGCAGGAAGCTACAAATCTGTTATTCTTACCATATCAAGTTTCAGGGTGAAATGGAATAATTCTTTGTGCATGGGCAAAATTGTATTATTAATCGAAGGTTTTGTAACAAAACCATTTGTATGCTATTGAGTTTCAGAAAGTTGGATAGTTTGACTTGAAAAAAAAAAAATGGCGCTGGGTGTAGCAGAGTGTAGGTGGTTACTGAGTCTGAAAAACACCCTTCCTAATCAGTGATAGCCACACTGTATGACTTTGAAGCGTCCTACAAGAGGAATACCAGGCAGAATATGCTTGTAATCATAAGCTGAACTTATATTTAGGTCTTCATGACATCATAAGGAGAACATTTTCTATAATGTCACTCACTGTCCTTCTTTGTCCTTCCCCCTGTCTCCCTAATAAGTACCATGAAGGTTTAAAATTAGTATTAAAATATTTAAGAATTTTGAGAATAATGTTAGTAATATAAACTTTTCTCTTTAGTAGTGTGCGCTATACTATGTAAGTTAAATTAGAATTTTTTTGCACATTTTCCATAATAGATCCAAACAAGGAATGATAATTGTATTCCTAAGAAATTTCTATATTTGTGAATTACAGAATTATGATTATTTGTCTCTGTTCTCTGAATATGTGTTGTTGGCTTTTTTTAAATAGGCCTTGATGATTGCCTCCAACAATATATAAAAAATTTTGAAAGAGAAAAGATCAATGGTGAACAGCTGCTACACATCACTCATCAAGAGCTTGAGGAACTGGGAGTCACTCGCATTGGCCACCAAGAACTGATACTGGAAGCAGTTGATCTGCTGTGTGCATTGGTAAGTGACTCCTTGCATCACTCATCTTAATAATCTGGGTTCATGAATTTCCAATCCAAAACTGAAATAATGTAGTCTGCACTCTACAGCTGTATGCTTGTACAGACACAGTGGCTTTGCTTCCTTAAAGGACAGACATGTCCAGGCTTCTTTCAGCTGTAAAGAAACTATTTTTATATATATATATATATATATATATATTTCCATTTTATGATTATGCATGATGGTCTTTTATTGTTCTTCCTCTGACTTTCTTGGTCTTGCATTCAAATACTGTTGACTATCGCTACTGGCATCCATATGGTTCTGTAATTATATGCCATATGCCCTCGTATTTCACTGACATTTGCCACACTATACTAAACCAAGCAGACCTGAGAGTTTTAACCATGCCAGCGTTCAAAAGGATGGTACTAAGGAACCAGAAGGTAATGCTAATTAGACTGGAAGATTGTTTAAAATGAACTTTAAGACAAGATTGGAATGATAAAATTGACTTTATGTAAAGTACAGACATGTGTGTCAATTTAAAGTTGGCTTTTTTTTTAGCAAACTGCAAGCATCCAAATTTGGAAGAACACTGTTTTTTCATATAACAGGTTATTAATCCAGTTAGCCTCTTAACAAAGTCTTTGATATCAGAAAATTCTTTTTTCCCTGTGTTATTTAATTCCCATCAGCTAATAAAATGTAACATATTTAACTTAATTCTAAAGAAAAAATGTAGGTGAACAGGTGAAAGGATATTCAAAATACAAAAAAGCAAAATAGTAAAATTACGTAGGTAAGTTACATATGACAGTCCCAGTATTTTACTTCTTTATCAGGAGCTCTGCTTTTGCACAAACTAAGTTATCCTGTGGGATTTTGATAAGATAAATTGTCTCCAACAGGGAAACTGGCACTTAGCAGTAAAATAGAAAACAAGCGGGGAAAAATGCACTTGATCTAAGGAAAAAGCAGTATGAAGTACCTTTTATTATGCACATGCTTCTGGCAAGTACCTCTAATTCCAAAATATACTGAATGTAGCCTGAGATCTACTCTTACGAATGAAATAACATATATGTCAAATCAGAGAAATGCTTTTTGGCCTTGATGCGGCCATACCTGCAAACTGGTGCATACTGCATAACCCAACAACCTTTTGTGTTCTGGAAACATTTAAAATAGAACTCGAGGGTTTTCCTCTGAAACACTGTTTTCCACATAAAAGGAACATAAATACCCCACAACGTTATGTTATGTTATCTAAACAAGAGTGCAGTGCTGTGCCCTGACACTAGTCAGAAATAGCAGACCCAAGAAGTTTCCTCTGGAAGAAGAACGCCCTTCAGTCAAGTGTGCCCATTAGGAGGACCCTTGCTGATTTTTTTTTTTATTTATTATTATTATTTTTCCTTTTTTAAACAAAGAAACTGTACCTCTTAAATGCTGGCCCTGCTGCTGTTCAATAGTGCAGCTCTTCTCTTGCTGTGCCTTCTCCTGACCTTATTTTTTCTTTTAAAGCAGGATGGGGATTTTCCACCTCCTGGTGTCATTTATTTAGCCTCCTGTCTTTAAGCCCTTACACCTCCTGTCTCACTCTGTCTCGAAAATGCCTGCTTTTTTTTTTTCCCCCCTGCTTCTAAATTTTTATCTTCCTGCCCATTCCGTGTGCTTTCTGCTGAGTGAGTCTGCTGCCTGCGGCTCTGCTCTTGGGGGTATTCTCTTGCTTCTGACATTTCTGCCTTGCTGCTATGCACAACACATTCTTCAATTCTTGCAGCTTCTTACTGAGCCAGGATCACAAGTAAAGGTTTTATAAGACTAAGTATAATATCTATTTTTAATCTGTAATAATGTATAAGAATGTTAATCTACGTAACCAAAAAGCATCATTAAGAATTTCTCTTAATTCTTTTAAGTAATGACAGTAATTGAATGGTAGGCGATCTGATGCTGCCTTTATTAACTGAAATACACATCTAAAACATTACAATTACATTCTTATTCTGTGCTAAATCTTGAAACATTAATAGATTATTGCAGTAAAATCTGACTGCTGGTTAAGTGATCAGTGAAAATTGTGAATTGGAGTTCATCCCTGTGATGTTTTTTTAGACTAAAAATCCAGAGGAAAGACCTTATTTAAAAGGTAATTAAAAAACAGGGGGAGGAGGGTATAGGTGCATCCGTGTTTTGCTTATGCCACTGAGCAGGAACTAACATAAGAAAGTATTTGCATCAGAATGTCTTAAGGAGCATGTCATGTTACCCTTGGTTTCCTGAGTTGCGTTCTAAGCAAACTTACTACAGTTTATGGGCGGCTGGAATACAGCCCCAGTCAGTAAGAGGTCAATAGGTTAAGGCATTGTGCGTGGGTTTGTATATATGGGCAGGGTGCACAGAGTACAAAGTAAGGATATTTGTAGATTCATATATACATATACTTTAAACATTTTTTTTTTTCAAACTTCGTTATGAAAAAAATTGAGGGGAAACATCGGTTCAAACAATCTGGGCTAAAATTCCACATGTGGGGGGGTGGTAACAGCAGGAGCAATAGTTTGTTCTCTCCCTCTGTCCCTCCATTTGCCCCATTCAGCATGGCGTGTGTTCCCAGTCCCATGCTGGCAGAGCATCCACAACGCTACGCACACTGTGTTTTCTTCCTGTCTGGATCACAGAGAGCTGCATTCCTCTTGATATCAATATATGTTAGTACTACTGCGTACTCTGCATATCATCCACTCACTGGGCCATGTCAATGGGCACTGATTTTTTTTTTTTTTTTTTCCGTACATGGATTTCTTAATTGATTTCACTTTGGCAATTGGCAGTGTCCAAGTTACATGACCTATTTCTTCGAGGCAGCATTAGCAGGATGTTCCACTCCATCTTAGCTAGATGGGCTGTATAATGCTTTCAACAGAGGCATCTCCAGTGCACTGTAGAAATCTCTCAGGTTAGCTTAGGCTCAGTGATGCATCAGGAATTCAGCTGCACATTGGTCATGAGTTTAGCTGCAGAACAGCTCTGTTGCTTCAGGAAACCAAGAGAAAGTTGACTGTCTTAGCTCAAGCTCTTGGAACACACTGAACATGCATGTTGCGGTGCCGCGTTTTCCATATGCGCTCCCTAAGGGCCTGGCCATCGGCCCACTGGCTTTTGGGGGGTGGGGGGAGTAGTTGTTTGGGGTTGCACATTAAAGAGCAGTGTCTTTGCTTCTGTCGCAGGGATGCAAACCATTACACAGCATATACACAACTGAATGCTGATCCATAATTAGTGTTCTAAGTGCAAGAGAAAACAAAAAATAAAGGAGGCGCCTCCTGTGTTTTTTGTTCCCTGTCCCAAACCACCTATTAACTAGACTCTCAAATGCAAATTCTTAAAGGCAGGGAAGGTTTAGTTGAGGAATCTACTACATATTTGCCCTTGATAGGATTTTATATCCACTTTTCACAAATAAATAGGAAAAAAATTAAACTAATATTATGTCTTGGTTAATTAATTCAAACATCATATTATTTCTGAATAAAATCAGAAGAGATGTTACTAATATGTGCAATCACAGATCATAATTTTTCTTCTGAAAGGAAGCTGAATTCAGAGCTTTCTTTAACTAGGCATCACATAGGAGAATTCTATCTGAAAAGTTTCTACACTGGAAGAAGAACTGCAGTAGGAAAGGAGGAGATGTAAGAAATGCAAACAGGGAAAAATAAAAGTATTTGATACACCTGTGCATAACAGAAGTGGCAATAGGGTGATATAGAAGTATATGTATTTTACCTTAAAAATGAAATAATTTGAAATGTTAGAATAATCTGTTTTCAGAAAGGGTAAATTTGAAGTGCAAAAGGTGAGAGTATTTTTCACTGTAGGAGGAATAGTACTGTCACTTTCTTGGGATTGCTCAGGGTTGAATTTATGTACTATGAAAGGAAAAGTCATAGGTGAGCCATACTTTCAGCTTCGATTCTTTGGCCATTCTAGAAAGATGTTTTTGAGTAGGGTTTTAATTAAGAAGAAAATTGGGAATGATGGCTGTGGGGGGAAAAATCCTATCTTAAACATCAAAGTCCTTTCTTACTAGTGTGGTCAGAAGCTGCTCTGCAATTATTTATTTGAAGTGACCTAAATAACATCCATGGACTAAAAAGTGCAGGCCATTCAGGATTTGGACTGTAATTTTATTAAAGCTGAAATACTAATCTGGATATGTATTGGAGGACTAGTTGCACAAAGGCATTGGCTGGCTCTGAAGAAGTAGTAGGGCCTGGGGAAAATAATTCTTTGATAGACAGTAAAATATATTGGAAAGAATAAAAAGGAGTACTTTTGAGGTCAACATGGGTTGCTGTTCAAGTAAATTTAATTTAATTAGGACAGTATTGGAGTCGGTATGTTGTTAAAGCCCACACAAATTAAAATATAAACAGTCTAGTGGGAAGAAAGACTTTGATAATGAATGGCAGAAAAATGAATGTAAAATGAAAAGCATGCTCAAATATAGATTGTATCTAAAGTAATTAAAAGTACTGTTAATTCAAGGCATTCAGCTAGTGAAATTAGGCACTCTGCTGTGATTGCATTCGAGGAGAAATAAAGATAAGAAAATTTCTCTCTCTGCAGTTACTGCGAAAGCTAGCAACCCAAGCATGATGGTTTTTCTGCTAGAAGGCAAAATAAAGTCACCTGTGGGTCAAAATGTTTGTGACAACTGGTGTGAGTTTAATTTGCTTGCATATTTACTACTCTTTTAAACAATGTATGGAACATAGCTACCAAACATACATGCTTTGGTTTTTTTCCCCCCTAACATCTTTGTAACATATTTCTTTATTAGGCATCTCTTTAACAAAATTACAACAGTAATAGTATTTTGTTGGTCAGATGGAAAGCAGTTTACAATAATTTATTTTGAAGTATGCTACGCTGAAGATGAAGCAGCCAGTCTTTCATAGCTCTCTGTATCTATCAATAAGGGTGTTTCTTCTGAATTAAAATTATTC